CCTGTTGGACACATGCAAGACATGATTGTGACTATTTTTCTAAAATTAACCTATGTGGCTAAAAGTGGTTAAAAATGCAAGATTTGGCTAAGACCCCGCGAAGCCAAGAACCTAAAACTTACTATGAAGACCGGACCCTATGTGGGCTACCTACGTATCACGCCCCGAAAGACGAGAATCAGGTATGCGTAGTTCGGGCAGATAGGATACGGGCGAGAATTTAAAAAAAAAAAACTAATTTAGAGAAAATATGTTTTTTTGTCTTTTTCTGAAAAATGATGAAACACGTAAACTCTTTTTGGATTTTCTTTCCCTTTTTTTTTATTTTTAAATTTTCGAAAAATGATGAAAAAGTGCAAAATCTTTTTTTTTTTTTGAATTTTTCATGTGTTTTTTTTCTTTGTCTTTTTCTAAAAAAATGTGAAAGAAAAACATAACTGGGCCCTACTTGCTTTATTTTCACACTTCACCTTTTTTTCTTTTTCATTTACCCTCAACCATCATTGGTCCGCCAAATGACCCTTTTACCCTTGAAGAAATGCAACATGTAGCACATAGGATGCATCAGGATGGTCATTTATTTTTGGGTACACCTGTCCTAGACGGACCCAACCCCTGTGTTGAGTCCCCTAAGTCAAATGCACGTGATGCAAACAAAAGTGCCTACTAGGGATTCGGCATGAGGTTATGTTATTCTAGGTTTAAACCTGGGGTTGTGTTCTAGACCTGGCTTACCCGAGCGGACAGCTCGAGCCGAGGTGGGGGCAACGTATCGAGAGCACGAAAGTCTATTGAACTCTGCTAATTGCCGTTTATTTACCATTTTGATATTATTTAAATTGTATTAAAATGTGTTCTTACGCCTCCCTTTTGAGTCTTCTGAAAATATGGTGCACACGTACGCGTGGCCCACTTTTTTGTTAGAAGCCATACCAAATAGAACGAATGGGCTAAGGGTAAATCTTGCACTTAAATGGGCTAATGGGTTGGAAGAATGGGCTAAGGATAATTGGGTTGGACCATGTCTTTTGGGTTTGAACCTAGGCTAGGAAGACTAAGGCCCCGTTTGGCCATGAGTTTTGCCAAAATAAATTTGGAATTTATTTTCAAAACTCATGTTTGGCCATAAATTTTGCCCACATTTTGCCAAATCTCAAATCCCAAAACTTGGGAATTATATACATGTTTTTCCAAAATAAAGTTAGAAAATATATTTTGAAAACGTATGTCCAAACACATTTTCATCTTCAAACCAAACTTAACCCAAATCAGATTTTTTCAAAATAAATTTGGGATCTATGGCCAAACGCTAGCTAAATAGTACAATGTATCTATAAAATATAAAAATCACTCTAAATTAAAATAAACTAATATAAAACTAAATACTAAAAGTGAAACTAGTTTTTTTGTATTTTCAAATGTTATAATACTATAAATATAAATATACTAATTGATAACCTAATGATGAAAATATTATTTTTTGTAATTTTTATTTTTTGTGATAAAAATAAAGTAAAAGAGTCAAAACTATTTAGAATAGCAATACTAAACCTAAATTAAATATTTAAGCTAAAATGTGTAAAATCTTGGGGAGGGTAAAAAATTACATGTCTACAGTTATAGGAAACATGAATCCACAAAGCAAAGAGCTGAACGTAGAATGATAATGAAATATTCGAGAGACTTCCCCTTTGGGGTTGATACCACTACAGTCCTCACAAAGATTCAAGCCAATGCATAACTAAGAGTTGTAAACCAATTCAGGACAGGTAAATGTGTCACTAAACAAACCTAGTGCAGAAGCTGAGGGTCAACATTATTATAGGCCCAGCCAACTAGTCAGCAAACAAGTGTTTAATACAAATTGATCACATATAGCAAGTTCAGTTTTGCACATTAGAGATTCCCTAGGCATTAAACTTGAGCAACCCTAGCATTAGCAGATATGAATGCACATAACAGGATAGTAGTAAAGCAAGCAACTATAATGAGAAGTAGCATGCTTTGTCTGAAGGGCTTAGAATATAGACATGATCCAGTAGCAAGTTATATTTAAATGACTTTGTATAGAGAAGTACATTCGAGCAAATTTAGGGCATGAGTAAGTACCCCAAAGTTTTAACACAATAGTTTAGAACAACACATGAATATGAGCAAGCAACATACTAAGAAAACTCATGTATGCAAAAACATAGTGAACTAAGTAGGTTCAAGATGGTCGAAGTATGTATAATATAGGCAGATAACCAAGTGCAGGATTTAAGTAATTTTAGATGCTAAAGAATATAGGAGTAGGCTAGCTTTGGAATATCACCAGCAAAGAGAACAACCAAAAGACCTAAATCCTAGTGCGTCAGAGTTCACAGGAGCCTCAAATGGACCCCGAGCAGTGCTCGCATAAGGGAGGTCATTAGAAAGGATTCCGACGGCCTTGGCTTTCAGCCGGCCAAGAGCAATAGATTCAGAATAGTATTGAGTGAGTGAGAGTATGAGAGAATAACAGTGGTTCTTAAGTGATTAGAATCCGTCCAAAAGGGAAACTGGGGAAGGGTTTATATAACATCAAATTAAGTACCCAACAAGGAAAGACAATCGACTAAACAAAAATAAGAAAAATATAGCATGCAAAATCAATTAGAATCAATTTAGGGCGGAAATCCGATAAACCCTAGTTTAGATGAAGAATAAAATAGAAAAAATCTCACTGAATCGGACCCATAAGGCCCGGTAGTAGGTGTATCAAGTCAAGAACATGGTAATAATACAGAATCAGAGTCAAATGAAAGCCTATTGATAAGCTCCATAAATAACTCAGTACCAAACGAGTAATGCCAAGAAAATGAGAAATAACGCTTGTGAGTACATAAAAAGGAAAGGAAATATAGAAGATCTCCATATTCTCTTGGGTATAGGCTAGGATTTGGGGTGAGGCAGCTAGGGTTTAGTATGAGAGGAGAGGAGAGAGTTTAGGGGCGGCTAGGCAGAGTGAAATGTGAGGAGAATGGTTGTGGGCTGTCGATCATTTGAGATCAACGGCTAGGATTAGAAGAGGAGCGGGGAGGGTCATTAAAATGGGTACCGACCGTGTTAAAGGCTAGTCTGGTTTGGGATGGGGAAGTTGGGCCAGAGATTTGAAGGGTTTGGGCCACTAATGTGTTCCGAAAAAATGTATAATTTGGGCTATATTTTAAATACATGAAATTGTTTTAAAAAATAAATTATAAAAATGACTAATAAATAGTAAAAATATTATTCATGCAGTAAAATGCTGGAAAAATAACGGCCTAACATTATAAAAATATGAAATGCTATTTTAGTATAAATAATATAATAAATATAGTTATGTACGGAATATAGGCTATTATTGCAAAATTATGTAAAATCGCTTTAAAGAATACAAATATAATTATACAAGAACAAAGTAAAATATTATGAAACGTATATGTGGATGCAAATGATAATTTTAGATGATTAATCATCACAAAATAATTTGAAAGGGTAGTTGATAAATAATCAAGTAATCAAAAATGCAAAAAAATCAGTTTTAAAGCTCTAAAAATTGCGGAATTAGAGAAAATACTTGTATAATTCATGTAAAATAATTAATGACGCAAGAATGACCTTTTGAAAGTATATATACTTATTTTAAAAATATGAGGGAAAAATTGGGTATCAACAGGTGTAGCGACTCGACTGGTCGTTTCGTTTTCTAGAACCCCGTTCTCCTAAATAAGACTTCCCGTACTTGCTTTTACTGATATATGACTTTCGGGGATGGTTGATTCGGGATTTGGAAGATTTTGGGTTGAAATCGGAATACTTGGTTCCTTAAGGTTGGCTTAAAAGGCCAAGTTTGACTTCGGTCAATATTTTGAGTACACGGCCTTGGAACCAGGATTTGAGGGTTCCAACAGGTTCGTATGATGATTTCGGACTTGGGCATATGTCCGGCTCGGGTTTTGGATGACCCGGGAGCGTTTTGGCGACTAATAGTGAAAGTTGATTCCTTAAAGATTTGGCGAAATGGCCTCTTGGCCACTCAAACTTGTAGCCCTTTTAAAAGCCGATATACAAACTTTTTTGTTTCCCATTTAAACACTCAAACTCCTGAAACCTATAACTAATAAACACAATTGACCGTTGACCCATCCCATGTGGCGTCAGTTGGTCCTAGTCAGCTCCCTGCGTGAATGTCACGACTTTTAGGAGCGTGAGAGACCCCCTTCCCGACGACCAACGGTCAAAAATAGGGCTTATTTAAGTGGGGTCTTATTCTTTCAATTGGATACACATTATCCCTCTATTATATGCATTTGAAGCTTCATTTCTCCTATTTCTCAAAATCTGAAGCTTTCTTTAATTTTTTTTCTTTTTCCAGATTGTGATAATGTATCAAAGTCCTGTATTTTGTCATTGTGGAGTTGAAGCTCATATTTGCATCACTTGGAAGCCAACAAATCTAGGAAGGAGGTTTTATGGGTGCTCAAACTATGGTCGAGCCAATTCTTGTAATTTTTTTAGGTGGTTTGACCCACCTCTTCCAGATCACTATAAACAGGTGATTTCAGGGCTGTTATCAAGAATTAAAGAGAGAGATCGACTACAACGTAGGAAGAGGGTCAAGATCATTGTAACTTTAGTTGTTGTAGTAGCACTAATAATTGTAATTTTCTTCTTAGTGTAGTTAGCACTATTTCATAACCCTATGTACAATGATAATGACAGAATGAATGATGTCTTTTTTGTGGAATGAAAAGCAATTTTAACATAAACAAGCACACATATATAAACAACCAAGTTCAATCAGCCTTCTTGGTTGACAAAATTAGCACTGAACTGCTATCTAGTAGCAGAAATAGTTTGAACATTGTTCCAAAAGAAAAGTCATACTTAAACATACTTAAGTTAACCTACAAATTAAGTTCTGCAACTAACAGACTTAATTTATCACAAAAACAAATATTCAGTCATCTTCAAGGTTGAGATTGGTTGATGTTTTGCTAAGATTGGCTCAAGTTTGGACATGGAGACTGGCTTGGCTGAGATGAAGAATGGGCTTGAGGTTGGCTAAGGTTTGCTTGAGTTTGTCTTCTCCTCAACTGTTGTTGAAGTTGCCTTTGTGATATAGCATTTCTTCCTTGCCACCTTAGTCCAGGTGCACTGTCTCCAAGATCGATATTGGTCTGCCCAGCATCCACTACATTTGTAGGAGAAGAATGTACCCTATATCTTGATCCACACTACATCGGAAGCCAAATTAGTACCCAAACTACTAATATATAAATAAAAATTCAAATCCTTAATGATCTTACCCTTTCTATCACTGTTCCTGTTTCACTAAACAATATACCAAATCCAATAGTTCTTGGTCTTCCTCAAAGTCCACTACCTCTTGGCCTTCCTCTAACTCTAACTATAATATCCTCAGAAGCTCTTGATCTCATACTTCCAGTATCCTGATGTAAGATAAAGTATTATCTTGTAATTTAAAAATTTTGGTCCTAATATAGATTAACTAAATTAACTAAAATGAATACTTACATATGCACTTGCAACAGCTGATGGTTGAGTATTTGTGGCCCTGGCAGTTCCAGAATCACTTGTAGGACCTGATTGTTGAGTTGTTGTTTGAGCAGCCCGTGATGGTTGAGAAGCACCAGCATTACTGGTTCCTGCTGTTCCAGATCCTTGTCCTTTCTGAAATTTCCAAAATAAAAAATGAGATATAGAAATTTTCAGAATCAGACACAAATTGGCTACATTACCAGGATAGGACACCCCTTCTTGTTATGGCCTACAGTCTTACAATTAGAGCATGTCATTGGTGTCCCTTTCCTTGATCTCTTACCAAACTTCTTCTTAGGTTCATCTTGAGCTCTTTTTCTATTTTTCTTAGGTCTACCAGGCATCTTGGTAATCACAAGAGGCTCAACAGTTGGATTCTGTGTTGATGGCCACATCTCCATGTTGGTTACTGGCTGTATGTAACAACTAAAAGCCTTCAGGTAAGTTTCTTTCTTGTGGGTTACATAGTCAGCAGGCTCAAATTTCTTAAAAAACATTGCACATATTGCATGGGAGCATGGTATTCCTTTGAGCTGCCATGATCTACATGTGCATGTATTGTTGGAGAAGTCAACAAATATGTTTGTAAATCCCATGTTGTATCTGATACCCAGTATCCCCATTCCATTTAAATTCATGCTTAACAGCATATTGAGATTGTTCCTCTATGTACCCCATTGCCATAGGAGATACATCAGAAATCCACCTTGTTGCAAATTCTCTCATGGTAGTCATCCTCTCCATCACCTTCACTCTAATCTCTTCTAACATGGTTATGATAGACTTGTGCCTAGCAGACAATATCCAACTGTTAAAGGTCTCACACATGTTGTTCTCCACAGAATCACATTTACTCCAATCTTTGAAGAATGCTCTACACCAAGATTGTTTTGGGTATCTCAGCAAGTCCTCAATGATCTTACTATCACCTAATTCTGCCAGCTCATCTATCTTAGCCTTCAAATATGCTTCAAATGAGGCCCTTGCACAGGCCCAAAACTTCTTCCTTCTTTCCTCTCCTTTCCACTTTTGTTTCCAGTTGCTCCATATGTGTCTTGCACACATTCTGTGCTCAGCATTTGGTAACAACTCAGAAACAGATACAACAAGTCCCTTAGGCAACAAAAAAACAATTAGAATATCAGAAACATATATAAAGTATACAAGTAATTAAAGGAAGAACAGGGNGCTCAGCATTTGGTAACAACTCAGAAACAGATACAACAAGTAAAAAAACAATTAGAATATCAGAAACATATATAAAGTATACCAAGTAATTAAAGGTAAGAACAGGGGTGTAGTACATACCTTCTGCATATCAGAAATGATGGTCAACCCCTCACCTTGGGATTCAGTGAGCTGCAGATCATGCATCAGACACCTAAAAAACCATGACCATGTGTGCTTTGTCTCCTTTTCCGCCACTGCCCAGGCAACAGGGTACATTTGGTTGTTACCATCTTTAGCAATGCATGATAGTAGCTCACCCTTACACACACCCTTCAGAAATGCTCCATCAAAGCCAGTAACATTTCTACACCCTTCCAACCAACCAACTTTGCAAGCATGTAGACAAATATAGATACCCACAAACACCTCCTTACCAGGTATTGTCTCCTTGGAGGTCTTCACAACAACAGTGCTGCCAGGATTTGTAGACCTCAACTGGTCAGCATAATCATATATTCTAGCAAACTCCTTCTTGTAATCACCAAGATACTGACCCATGACCTAATGTTTAGCCCTAGCACATATGGATTTTCCCACATACACACCATACTTTATCCTAATCAAATCCTGCAACTGCCTAAGCTTAATGTCAGGTTGGTTGATAATCTTGTCCTTGAAATGTTTAGCTACCCATGCTGTATTAGCCATCTTGTTTCTAGTTGCTCTAAAACAATTATGAACAGGATAATAGCTCTAGACAATGAAATTCGCTGTGTGTCCCTCCAAGCTTCCCAAAATATGCCATCTACATCTTGTTGAGTTCACACATGTTGCCCTAACTCATGTTGCTCATTAGGCCTCAACTTAATTTGAACTCTTCTTTGTACAACATAATCTTTCAAAGCAGATCTGAACCTGTTTTACATTTTCAAACACCATTTCTAACTAGAAACAAATTTTCTTACAAGCAGGATCAAAGTATACCCTACTGCTGTATCTTCTTGGTTGAGGGTTATGCACCCCATCTCTTCATCTACTTCATCATCTGTATCCTCACTGCCTGGATCTGAACTGTCCAGATATTGCTCATCCTCTCCCAACTTTCCAGCATATTTGGATCCCCTATCTTTATACATGTCTTCAAAACCAGGGTCTATACCTACAGGTCCACTAGGTATCTCATCAGTATTAACTTCAGAAGATCTTAATTTACTACTCTTTGCATTCACTTTAGCCTGTCTAGCAGCAACAACTTCAGGTTCTAGGTCACTTGTCTCTCCAACAGTATCCTCATCAGAACCATATAATGACTCATCTGTATCATCTACAGAAAAAGCCTCATAATCTTTATCACTCTCACTACTTAGCTCATCACCCTCAGCATCACCCTTAGCATCACCCTCAGACTCAGTTGCTAAATGAAAGGTATATAAGTCACCTTCATTTTCACTTGAGTCTTCTGTTTCAGAAGAACTTTCAGAACTTTCAGCAGCCCTCTCTTTACCCTTCCCATGAGTGTTATCACCCATATTTATATCATTGCTAGGTGAGTGTGTTGCCCTAGCATTAACATCACTTGTTTGCCCATGTGGCTGAACATTAGTGGGGTCCACATTTAAACCACCACTACTTAACATTTCATCTAGGTCCAAATCAATACATGGTGTATTAATTGTGTGACATATATACACATCAATAAAATCCCCATCCTTAAGGTCTTGACAGAAAGCTAACACATCAGCATCATATTTCAGAAATCTAAATTCTCCTTTTTGGTTAATTTACATGCATATTTATCTACTATTAAGTACCCCATATCCTTAGCCCAATCATAAAATTGAATTATATGTAATCCATCAATGTCAGCTTGAAGAACAACTGGCCAAGTTTGACCATTTACATACCTCATAATTGGGTCAGCCACTAACCACCCTAGATGATGAAACTGTAATTTCACATAGACAGCCATTGAAACCTATAAAAAAGGGGGGACGAGTCAGATACACTTTAACCCTAAAAAGACATAAACTTTAAAAAAATGGGAGACAAGAATATTTTGATATTAAAAAAAGACCTAATTTTTTAACCCTAAATGCCATATCACTCATGAAAAAGACAAACCCCTAAAATAAAGTGAACATACGACTGTTTTCCCCAAAACCCTAATATAAAATCCCATCATTTGTGCATGCATAAAAAAGCCCTAATTTTTTTAACCCCAAATGCCAGATCAGTCATGAAAAAGACAAAAAAAAAAGTCTAAAAGAGTGAATATTCCAGTGTTTCCCCAAATATAAAATCCCAAAAGGCGAAATGGCTTCCACTATATCAGATGAAAAGTTATGCATGCAGACATAGATAGCTTTCACAATCAAACATTACCCACATTATTTCACAACAAATTAGAAGAGAAAGATGAAAACGACATCAAAATAAACAAACTAACCTTCAGAGACTAACGTGACTGAAAACGAAAGCTTTGACGAATCTCGATCAGCTTTTCATTACAAGAGGGGGGACCCCAATCGTTTGGTTTTGGAGTGATTAAGGTTATTTTGGAAGGAGATTACCAGGTTAATCAGCCATTCCTAAACCTAGGTTTAAGAGGGGAGTGATGGTTAGAGAGAGGAAAAGAGACGAAAAGTGGGGAAGGGTATGTCGGTGTACTGATTAAAAGAGGGGGACCCCAATCGATTAGGTTTAATTTGGCGCCATTGACGTGTACGGTCTAATTGGTCATTTGCTGACTGGATGGACACGTTAGCGAATGTGTAATACACGCGCCTAGGGTCAAGGACAAATTGTGTTTATTAGTTATAGGTTTCAGGAGTTTGAGTGTTTAAATGGGAAACAAAAAAGTTTATATATCGGCTTTTAAAAGGGCTACAAGTTTGAGTGGCCAGGAGGCCATTTCGCCTAAAGATTTTGAAGTTCTTAAATATTTGGTTTGGAGCGGGTTTTTATGTTATCGAGGTCTGAATAGAATTTCGAGACCGGGAATAGTTTCGTATTGTCATTTAAGACTTGCACGCAAAATTTGGTGTCAATCCGAGTAGTATAAGTGTGTTTTGTTACATCGGATGTAAATTGAAGAACTTGAAGTTCATAAGTTTGATTGAATTGGTTTTAGGGGGTGATTCTTAGATTTAGCGTTGTTTCGGGTGTTCCAAGGGTTTGAGCGAGTCCATTTTATGATTTCAAACTTGTCGGTATGTTCGGGGAGGGGGGGNAACACAATTGACCGTTGACCCATCCCATGTGGCGTCAGTTGGTCCTAGTCAGCCCCCTGCGTGAATGTCACGACTTTTAGGAGCGTGAGAGACCCCCTTCCCAACGCCCAACGGTCAAAAATAGGGCCTATTTAAGTGGGGTCTTATTCTTTCAATTGGATACACATTATCCCTCTATTATATGCATTTGAAGCTTCATTTCTCCTATTTCTTAAAATCTGAAGCTTTCTTTAATTTTTTTTTCTTTTTCCAGATTGTGATAATATATCAAAGTCCTGTATTTTGTCATTGTGGAGTTGAAGCTCATATTTGCATCACTTGGAAGCCAACAAATCCAGGAAGGAGGTTTTATGGGTGCTCAAACTATGGTCGAGCCAATTCTTGTAATTTTTTTAGGTGGTTTGACCCACCTCTTCCAGATCACTATAAACAGGTGATTTCAGGGCTGTTATCAAGAATTAAAGAGAGAGATCGACTACAACGTAGGAAGAGGGTCAAGATCATTGTAACTTTAGTTGTTGTAGTAGCACTAATAATTGTAATTTTCTTCTTAGTGTAGTTAGCACTATTTCATAACCCTATGTACAATGATAATGACAGAATGAATGATGTCTTTTTTGTGGAATGAAAAGCAATTTTAACATAAACAAGCACACATATATAAACAACCAAGTTCGATCAGCCTTCTTGGTTGTCAAAATTAGCACTGAACTGCTGTCTAGTAGCAGAAATAGTTTGAACATTGTTCCAAAAGAAAAGTCATACTTAAACATACTTAAGTTAACCTACAAATTAAGTTCTGCAACTAACAGACTTAATTTATCACAAAAACAAATATTCAGTCATCTTCAAGGTTGAGATTGGTTGATGTTTTGCTGAGATTGGCTCAAGTTTGGACATGGAGACTGGCTTGGCTGAGATGAAGAATGGGCTTGAGGTTGGCTAAGGCTTGCTTGAGTTTGTCTTCTCCTCAACTGTTGTTGAAGTTGCCTTTGTGATATAGCATTTCTTCCTTGCCACCTTAGTCCAGGTGCACTGTATCCAAGATCGATATTGGTCTGCCCAGCATCCACTATATTTGTAGGAGAATAATGTACCCTATCTCTTGATCCAAACTGCATAGGAAGCCAAATTAGTACCCAAACTACTAATATATAAATAAAAATTCAAATCCTTAATGATCTTACCCTTTCTATCACTTTTTCTATTTCACTAAACAATATACCAAATCCAGTAGTTCTTGGTCTTCCTCGAAGTCCACTACCTCTTGGCCTTCCTCTAACTCTAGCTATAATATCCTCAGAAGTTCTTGATCTCATACTTCCAGTATCCTGATGCAAGATAAAGTATTATCTTGTAATTTAAAAATTTTGGTCCTAATATAGATTAACTAAATTAACTAAAATGAATACTTACAGATGCACTTGCAACAGCTGATGGTTGAGTATTTGTGGCCCTGGCAGTTCCGGAATCACTTGTAGGACCTGATTGTTGAGTTGTTGTTTGAGCAGCATGTGATGGTTGAGAAGCACCAGCATTACCGGTTCCTGCTGTTCTAGATCCTTTTCCTTTCTAAAATTTCCAAAATAAAAAATGAGATATAGAAAATGAGATATAGAAATTTCCAAAATCAGACACAAATTGGCTACATTACTAGGATATGACACCCCTTCTTGTTATGGCCTACAGTCTTACAATTAGAGCATGTCATTGGTGTCCCTTTCCTTGATCTCTTACCAAACTTCTTCTTAGGTTCATCTTGAGCTCTTTTTTTAGTTTTTCTTAGGTCTACCAGGCATCTTGGTAATCACAGGAGGCTCAACAGTTGGATTGTGTGTTGATGGCCACATCTCCATGTTGGTTACTGACTGTATGTAACAACTAAAAGCCTTCAGGTATATTTCTTTCTTGTACCAGTGGGTTACATAGTCAGCAGGCTCAAATTTCTTAAAAAACATTGCACATATTGCATGGGAGCATGGTATTCCTTTGAGCTGCCATGATCTACATGTGCATGTATTGTTGGAGAAGTCAACAATATGTTTGTAAATCCCATGTTGTATCTCATACCCAGTATCCCCATTCCATTTAAATTCATGCTTAATAGGATTTTGAGATTGTTCCTCTATGTACCCCATTGCCATAGGAGATACATCAGAAATCCAACTTATTGCAAATTCTCTCATGGTAGTCATCCTCTCCATCACCTTCACTCTAATCTCTTCTAACATGGTTATGATAGACTTGTGCCTAGCAGACAAGATCCAATTGTTAAAGGTCTCACACATGTTGTTCTCCACAGAATCACATTTACTCCATTCTTTGAAG